AGACCAGATTGCCAATATCCGCTGGATAATGGAGAAAGGCAGGAAGTTTCAGAAAAACATCTATTTCTGCTTGAATTGACTATTCTAAAGCCTTTGACTGTGTAGATCATAATAAATTGTGGCAAGTTCTGGGTGGGATGGGCATCCCAAGCCACCTTGTCTCTCTCCTGAGGAATCTGTACAAGGACCAAGTCGCAACAGTCAGAACTGACCACGGAACAACAGACTGGTTCAAGATTGGGAAAGGTGTACGGCAAGGCTGCATCCTCTCACCCAACCTTTTTAACTTGTATGCAGAACACATCATGCGATGTGCGGGGCTGGATGAATGCAAAGCTGGGGTGAAAATTGCTGGAAGAAACATTAACAACCTCAGATATGCAGATGACACCACTCTGATGGCCGAAAGCGAGGAGGAGCTGAGGAGCCTTCTAATCAAGGTGAAAGAAGAAAGCGCAAAAGCCGGGTTGCAGCTAAACGTCAAAAAAACCAAGATTATGGCAACAAGAATGATTGACAACTGGGAAATAGAGGGAGAAGATGTGGAGGCCGTGACAGACTTTGTATTTCTAGACGCAAAGGTTACTGCAGATGCAGACTGTGGCCAAGAAATCAGAAGACGCTTACTTCTTGGGAGGAGAGCAATGTCCAGTCTCGATAAAATAGTAAAGAGTAGAGACATCAGACTGGCAACAAAGATCCGCATAGTCAAAGCCATGGTATTCCCTGTAGTAACCTACGGATGTGAGAGCTGGACCTTAGGGAAGGCTGAGTGAAGGAAGAGAGATGCTTTTGAGCTGTGGTGTTGGAGGAAAGTTCTGTGAGTGCCTTGGACTGCGAGAAGATCCAACCAGTCCATCCTCCAGGAAATAAAGCCCAACTGCTCACTGGAGGGAAGGATAGTAGAGGCCAAGATGAAGTGTTTTGGCCGCATCATGAGAAGAAAGGAAAGCTTAGAGAAGACAATGATGTGGGGAAAATGGAAGGAAAAAGGAAGAGGGGCCAACCAAGGGCAAGATGCATGGATAGCATCCTTGAAGTGATTGGCTTGACCTTGAAGGAGCTGGGGGTGGTGACAGCCGACAGGGAGCTCTGGCATGGACTTGTCAATGAGGTCATGAAGAGTTGGAAACGACTGAACGAACGAACAACAAAATAGCTTAATTTATGTATTGTCAAAGGCTTTCATGGCCGGAATCACTGGGTTGTTGTAGGTTTTTTCGGGCTATATGGCCATGGTCTAGAGGCATTCTCTCCTGACGTTTCACCTGCATCTGTGGCAAGCATCCTCAGAGGTAGTGAGGTCTGTTGGAAGTAGGAAAATTGGTTTATATATCTGTGGAATGACCAGGGTGGGACAAAGGACTTTTGTCTGCTGGAGCTAGGTGTGAATGTTTCAACTGACCGCCTTGATTAGCATATAATGGTCTGACAGAGCCTGGAGCACACTTTTGATGAGAGGTGATTAGATGTCCTTGTTTGTTTCCTCTCTGTTGTGATGTAAGTTTAATTTATGTTCCGGAATTGAATGTTTGCAGTATGTATGTTGTGCTCCACCCTGAGTCCCCTTCGGGGTGAGAAGTGTGGAATATAAATGCTTTAAACAAACAAACAAACAAATAGATTTGAGTTTATCTTGGATTGGGGCACCCCCTGCTGGTGTACCCCCAAAATGAGATTCCTATATACTTCCAATGCCAGCTCTGTGATGAAGACAATGGGTGTATCTATGCCTGGCATGGGGAAACTTTCTAACTTGGGGGCCACATGGCCAGCCAGAGTGGGGTGGGTGGGCCAGGAGGGAGGGGGTTCTCCACAGTCCCCTCCTTGCCCTTTCCTCCCCTTCCTCTTCTCTTTCAGAGGCAGAAAGTGAAGGAAGGACAGGAAATGTGTGGATCCCAAAAAGGTTGGCCTTGGTTAGAACAAGATGGTGGACGGGAGAGAAAAAGTCTATCCATGAGACCCCGTATTGCCTACTGCTGATATAGAATCCTAGAGCTGGAAGAGACCCCCAAGGGTCATCTAGTCCAACCCCCTGCCATGCAGGAAGGCACAATCAAAGCACTCCTGATAGACAGCCTCTGCGGAAAAGCCTCCAGAGAAGAAGACTCCACCACACTCCCAGGCAGCCTAGGCCACTCTCCAACAGCTCTTACTCTCAGGAAGTTCTTCCTAATCTTTTCAGTCGAATCTCTTTCCCTGCACATACACATATAAACATTTCCCCCATCACTTCCAGATCGCTTACGTGGTTTAATATATTCCTTTCCTCCATGTTCTATCTCACTTGTATTAGTCATCTTACATTTGTTATATCTTGGCCCTTGGAACTTCTTCATTCAATTTTTACAACCACTTGTAACTGTTCTTTTTTAAAGAGATGCTTTTTTTTGGAAAATCAAAGTTGCTGACTATTATTATTATTATTATTATTATTATTATTATTATTATTATTATACGACATAAACAGATGGAGACATGATTGATTCCAGTTTAGCCCTAGCATTGCAAGAGATGACCTAAAAGGCATGAGATGCTTTCTTTTGGAAAATCAAAGCTGCTGAAAATAATAATAATAATAATTATTATTATTATTATTATTATTATTATTATTATACGACATAAACAGATGGAGACATGATTGATTAATTGATTCCAGTTTAGCCCTAGCATTGCAAGAGATGACCTAAAAGGCATGAGATGCTTTCTTTTGGAAAATC